AGTCTTTCAAAAAATGTTGCATAGTTTCTCCATGTTGATTATTAATGCCACGGTTTATTTGAGAATGTTCATCAGTACCATTAAACTTGTTTAAAGTTTATTTTCTAATTGAATTCTTATCAACTGTTTATAGTTGTCTCCATAAACAATAAAGAAAAACTGCTATTACCTATTTGATTTTTTTTAAGGTAGAACTCGTAGGGTTTTTTTAAAAAAAACTTCCTAAGTGGAAGGGTTACTCTGCTGCTTGTGGGCAATGTTTTCCCAAAAGTCTTTATGTGGATGTAATTGAACAGATATTAAGATTCCATTATAATCTTCTAGAACAGAGTAAAATGATAGAAAAGTTGATATATAGGTCATTTTAGAGAGGGTTTATGAGGCTATGAAGCCAGGAGCTCTTAACACTGTGACCAGAGGTTGAAGTTCACCATGGGCCGCTATAGTCTTTAAACAGCACTGTGTTCTCCTAAGGAGATACAGCGTTGGCCACATGTAGTTCACTCCTGGCATTCCGTGATTGGTCATATGGGAAAGTAAATAGATGTTTCAAAGTTTTAAAGAGTTATAGAAAAATAATACTGAGGAACACTAAAAAATAAGGGAGAGAATAAAAAGCAATGGTAAGAGATTCTCCTTTCAAGACTTTGAGACTTCTTATAAAGGTGCCATCATTAAACTGTTGGGTAAAGGAATTAAGGATGGAGAAATAGGTCAATAAAATAGATATAAAATATGTAAGCCAGAAAACCCTTCTTAAAAAACAGCATTTAAGGCTTTCATAGATGGGGATAAATGTGTAACTATTCAAGGAGTCAAAGAAATGCTCCCTGAGGAATGTATGTTGATGATTGGGTTTAACTATACATGCAGAAAAGATTTTTGAATAGTAGGAAAACACTTTAAGGTACAAATAAAAGTTGAATATATACCAAATCTACAAAGAACAGGTATAACCACCATAACTGTCCTAGGTCAATGTGAAGATTTAGCAGAACAACCATTTATGAAAAAGCAGTGACAATAGAAGAAATGTTCAGACTTGCTAATAAGCGCACATCATCGTCAAAAAGTTTTCCTGTACGATAATGGGCAAAAACTCGGTATTTGTTGGTTTGTGAAAAAAACAGCCTTAATGCAAAGTGGTATTATAAAATGGCTATCTTTTTGGAGGTCAGTTTGGCATTATGTAAAACAAGACCTATAAAATTATTTGTACTCTTGCACTAGAATCTTACATTTTAGAGAATATTCTCCAAAAGAGAATATTCATTCAAGAGGAAGGTAAATGTAAAAACCATTATGGCAAAGCAAAAATGTGGAAGCGGTTTACAGATTTGTTTTGAGAATAAAGTTATATAAGCCATCTCCATAGCCTAGCTGAACACCTGACACGTGGAGCATAGACTGAGAATTTATTGCTATTACCATGCTAATGGCGTGGAATTATATATCTTTTTGTTTAAATAGCATTTTATTAAACAGGACTCTAAATAGAATAAAATTTGATTTAAGGTAGACTCTATTACATAAGCAAAGCTTATTCTCTAGGAGACTTCACTAGAGATGGAAATAAGGACTCGCCACTCATGTTTCAATTTATCCATTAACAGTTCCAGCATTTTTGAAAATGAGAGTTGGACTCACTGCTCCACAGCAGCCGCACCACGGACACTGGTCTGAGCGCCCTTCTGCCTGTTGGGCTGCCGTGGGTGCTCTCCCAAGAACGCTGTCTCCCAGCACCGAGACTGGCGCGAAGGGAGGAGTGGCGAGAGTTGTAAGGAGGCTGAAGATGGCACTGCCCTCAGTTCTAGCCCGAGCGAGGCAGGGCCAGGGAGCGAGGTGCCTCTGCTCGTTTTCGTGGGTGACATTTGCTGGAGCGTTTCGGTACTATGAGAATGAGTAGATATTCAGGAAGTCATTTTTAGATCCTTGCAAGAAAACTTTGATAGGCTTCTCAAGGGAAGAAAATAAAATTTTTTAGCTATTTGCTCATATCCTCAATAATAAACAATTTTTTACTACTTGCTATAAAACATGGCTGAGACTGGGCTTGAGGCTAAAAGTAATTTTTATGTACACCAGGATGATATCACAGTCCCTTCAAAATATCCACATTAATATAATGTGAAATAAAAATTGTTACCTGTTGTAATGTCAGATTTTATTTAACGTTAAAAAATTTCTAGTCGGTCACATAAATGAGATTTACTTCGGACTCCTATTATGTGTAAGCATCATTTAAAATTTTTTATATTAAAAAATAAAGAAAATTTGAATATAATGCCAGGCTTATAAAACAGATCGCTTAAACAATACATAGCCCGTTTATTTAGTTTGTAGCTAATTTATTCAGCACATCCTCTGAGTGTATAATTTCAATTTTATTTTGCTTTCTTTTTTGTGGGGAGAGGGTGTAGATGAAGTGAGAATGCTAGTAGTGCCTTGGGAAAATCTAAATGTGTCGAGACCTCCCGCAGGTGTTCATAAGGAGCCCCCACACCACACCTTGGTTACGAGTTTCAATTCCAGATGGTGTGTTTATGTTGTTTGAAGATGTGAGAGAAAGCAAACCAGGTTGTTGAAAAGAACATTAAGGACTTAGAAAAGCAAAAGAAAGATGAAAGCAAGAAAATAGATTTCTTTGAGAGTAACCCTCTACGTTCACAAAAGATTGCTAGTGGTCTGAAAGACTGGGTATAGAGAGAGGCATATTCACGTTTATATTGGAGCCTCTAGATTATGGTTTATTTTCTCCCCTTACAGATTCGAAACTAGTTTTCACACCTTCTTATTCAGGAAAACTTGAGAAAACTTGGACTCCAGAACAAGATTTTAGTTAAAGGGAATAAGTATGACAGTTTCCGAATCACGTATTTCAGGGTGATGTAGGTTCTTATGTGTTTGGGAGGTTTCTTAAAGCTACTTTGGACCCTGGAATTTGAATTTCTGAAAGTTTCCTAGCCTGTTTCCAGAGTTGGCATTTTATTTCATTTATTGCATTTTTTGGGTTTATTTTTATTCCACTAAAATAATTATTTGACCAAAAAAAACAAAAAAAAAACAAAAAAAACCACTAAGGAAGCCTGTCTGTGACATGGGAAACAATAGAAAATGGTTTGTTTTTGTGGCATTAAAAGGTACCAAGGCATAGTGTATTCCACAGACACGTCTCCTGTAGGCTCTTACTCTGTTATTTCTGTACTCGTTGCAGGTTAACTAAGAATGTGTCGTCACAGGTGTGAAGTGTCGGTGGACTTGAGAAGGCCCGCCCTCGGCATCCCATTAGTCTGGATTTTTTATAGGTTATTCCAGGATTTCTGACGTTTGCTGAAACCTATATTTTAATGTAAAAATTATACGTTTCTGATTTTTAAAACTTGACTGTTTTCTTTTCTTTTGGGTTTTGAAGGCAATCCAGCATCCCGCAGACGAGAAGTTACAGGAGAAAGCATGGGGCGCGGTCGTTCCGCTCGTAGGCAAATTAAAGAAATTCTATGAATTTTCTCAGAGGTTAGGTAAGTCGAAAGTGGTGATTATGACTTCCCTGTTGAGAAAGACAGCAGAAGTAATTTAGAGGATTTTATGTTCACATTGCTAAATTTATATGTTCCATATCAAGCAAGCTCGTTTTGATTGAAGATTCGAGCATAATCTTATCATTCCTGTCAACCCAGGTTTTCGTTCATGTAGACCATTCTCCTTGAGAAATTGTAATTTCCACAAGGAAATCTCTGGTTTCTGTATCCTAAAGGTCCTCCTATCTGTTCCCATATGTGGGAACTAATCCACAGACCCCTGGATTATTTAGATTTTTGCGTTCTTAAAATCATTGCTGATTATCCTCAGTTCATATATCTAAAACTGTTTGAGAGATAGGAAGCTTATGATATATACAAAGTTATCTAGCGAGTTATTAAAGCAAAAAGAATTAAAAACCATTTGCTTTTTCCCTTGCATGGGAAAAATTATTCAGAGATCAGACTTGTACCTTCAATACAGTGAGTAAAAGTTGAAATTCCCTTTCTTGAAAGAGGAGGCAGAACAGGTGAAATTTAGCCATTTAATTTGAAGGATGGAAATTGGCAGGGCTTTTCTGTGTGAAGTCGTGGAGGAGAGGAAGAGTGGTATAAATGTGTCAGAAACTTGAAACATTTAAATTTAAGTTCTTGTCATGTTTTACATACTTTTGATTTTTGAATCTCATAAATATGTTATTTATTCTACATAAATACAAACAATTTAATAAGAAGACCATACTGTAAGGTAGAAGTCATGAGCTAAATTTAGGCCCGAGAGGTAATTTATTTGGCCCACATAATTTTAGAAAATTCCTAATTAGCCGTCAGGTTTAAAAACTGGTAAATTATTTGCGTTTGGGGTTTTGTTGTTTTGAAGTTTCTAGTGGCTTTGGAAAAATCAGTAGCTCAGGCAGCAATTGATTCAGTGATCGGCATCAGCACTGAGGTGCGCACCATCTCTCCGTGGGTAGGGCGTGTGCTTTCTAGTTTGCACTAGGTTCCTATAGCTTCCTAGTTTTCTTATATCTTGGTTTCTATATTCTTTTATATTAGCTTCTTGGCCAAGTGCGTTTGCAACTTTTACTTTAAAGACGAAGTCCTGTTTTGTTTTGTTTTGTTTTGTTTTAAAGATGCTGTGCTTTTAAGTACCTTTTGCGATAGAAATGTTTTATAAATTATCCTTTCTTACTAGAAATCAGAATTGTCATTTCTTTCCCCCTGCATGACAGTCAGTTCTTTCCCACGATTGGCCTTTCGGTCGGGTGTCTCCATCGTTTGTAGCTTTGTGGCCCCGGAGAGCCTGGGTCTTTTTCTCCTGGCTGTGTGGACTCCAGCGTGTCTGGAGCTTTTCTTGTGCTGCTGGTTCCTGGCTGCATTTATAGTTAAGTTGCTTTAGATGGTGCTCAGGCGCTGCTCGGGCTCATCTTGGTCTCTCAGCATTTGCCAGTAAAAAAAAGTACAATTGTACTTTTTTACTAGCCGAACTAGTAAGGCTTACATGTTTTCTTACAGTCTAACTATTGGAATTTAATCAGGCTACTGGTGTGTGTTCCATCATGGGTGCTGTGTTCCATTTCAAGAGGGCTGTATTAACACAGGTAATAGCAAAAAGCTATCATTTTTCATGCTGTCGTGTGGGAGTCTTGAACCTTCATTATAGTACTCTAGGGGCTTCTGTAGAATTATAAGCAAAGTAAAATTTAAGATCTGATGATTTACTTCTCATGTCTTAGCCAATAACCTGGTTAGTAATTTTCCAGTTTTCTTGCTGACAGGATGTGTATCCTTGCTTGCGTGTGATAAGAACTCAGTGTTTGTTGAGTGAGTGAGTGATGGATTAACAGATATACACACCTGCTGTATCAAATGTGTGTTGGGTATTTGGGAGAAGCACTCAATGGATTTTAGGCTTTGGAGGCATAACGGCCTATGTTTGAATTACGGCATGTGCCGCATATTAGCTG